TTCCTGGAGAAATATCAAGGGTGCCAACAATTTCGGCCATGACTGTATAAGGGATTACCTGACAAAAGATTTCTATTTCTGAGTCCTGAGACTTAAATGTACACACTAGAATATTGAGAATATTGGACGAATGATTGTCTTTTTTTTTTGCATGCTAATCTCATATCAAAAGTGAAGACGTAACTAAAGTTACAAAAATTCTTCTACAACAGAAAGAGAAGTGATGTATTTGTATCATTTTACTATATTTTCAGACGAAAACTGTACTGATTAAACGAAAATCGTATGATCTGGTATCGTACGAGAAAAAACATTTTCGTGCTTGTCCCTTCAAATAATTTTGGACTAAAGCTGTGTACTAACCATCAGATTATCATACAATCACTTTGAAAGCTGTATTTTTTGTGCGATTTTCTGATCGTGTGCACGTTACCCAGCCCCATCACGCAACACATCTAGGTGGATGACATCACTTACAGTTAAGGAATACATGGTGTCCTCTCTCATCCCCAGCCTTCTGACTGGTCAGTAAAAGAGCATCAGCAGTCCGATGAGATCATCCCTGTACCCAATCTGCTCATCCCCAGCCCTCTGAGTGGATCGTTAAAGAGCATCATAAATTAACATAAATCACCAGCGCCAAAATTAAAACTAAAATAAATTAAATGCTGCTGTACATCAGTGTAAACCTACACCAATAAAATCTAAACAACACAAACAGCGCAAAATAATTTGTTATGGTGCTAAATCACAACTTGTATGAAAAAAAATATATTATAAATAATATTGACAAAATAAATATTACTAAAAAATAAAGTCCCACTCCAAAGTAAATGATTAGTGAAAAAGTTGAAAAAAATCCTTAGAAACTCAGAAAGTCCTTTTTTTTCCAAAGAAATGTGCTTCCATCAAAAATTAGTGCTCAAACAGTATATACTGCACTCACCAGATTTTGGTGAAAAAAACACCTTTTAGGTATTTATGGGATCCTAGACCCTTATAATATGCCTCCAGATCTCCACTCCACCAAAGGAAAGCTTTCCTCCAATCTCCAAGACCACCAGACTCCACTTTCCAGAAATACTCAGTATAATGTAGGGAAAAACAAAACGACATAGCGTAATACTGCAACACCTGGTTATATCAATAATCAAGTACCAGGCCACTCACATTTTTTAAGATAAAAACCAGCATTTTAATTGCATAAGATGAATCCACAATCGTCTCAACTCCAGAATAGTCCAGAGATCCCACAGTCAGCAGCAGATGACAGCATAGAGAATCTCCCATACAAAAGATGGCCCCCAGGAACACAGCACGCCGGTGGAGTCTGGTGGTCTTGGAGATTGGAAGAAAGCTTTCCTTTGGTGGAGTGGAGATCTGGAGGCATATTATAAAGGTCTAGGATCCCATAAATACCTAAAAGGCGTTTTTTTCACCAAGATCTGGTGAGTGCAGTATATAATGTTTGAGCACTAATTTTTGATGGAAGCATATTTCTTTGAAAAAAGGACTTTCTGAGTTTCTAAGGATTTTTTTCACGGTTTTCACTTATCATTTTTTCCCTTACTTTGGAGTGGGACTTTATTTTTCAGTAATATTTATTTTGTCAATATTATTTATAATATATCTTTTTTTCATATAAGTTGTGATTAGCACTATAACAAATTAAAGAGCATCATAAGTCTAAAGAGATCATCCCTGTACCCAATCTGCTTATCCCCAGCCCTCTGAGTGGACAGTTAAAAGAGCATAACCAGTCTGATGAGATCATCCCTGTACCCAATCTGCTCTCTCCTGCTATCTGATCCTTGTCAACATATTTGCATACAGCACACCTTATTGACTCCCTATCCTGGCCCTCTCACTCCTATTTTGAGCTTGGCTATATAGTGGATTGTAAGAGGCTACTACCATTTTAAAATCAGATACTTACTCTAGCTTTTTTTAAAAATATGTAAGGAGCTGCACTCATTTGTGTCTTTTAGATCTGCCTCGAGTTCAGATTTAAATATGTGCTTAATGAAAGACATTGTAGTCTCCCTATAATCCAAGTCCTTGTGTTCTGCCTTGTATATTTCTACAGTAAAAGTTTAGTTTTACCTGCTACACAGAGTGTTCCTGGAGGTGGTTGTTTACAAGTATCTGGTAATCTTTGATGTGTCCATACTGCACAGTCAGCTAATTCACCTATGGATTGTAGGGCTTTCTTGCCCATTCTCCTACAGAGGGGAAAATAATTATTTGATTCCCTGCAGATTTTGTAAGCCTACTTACAAAGAAATGAGGGGTCTATCATTTTTATCATAGTGGTATTTTAAATGATAGGGACAGAATATCAATTCAAAATCCAGAAACAATACATGAAACAAATGTTATAAATGGAGTTGCAGTTCAGTTCAGTGAGTAAAATAAGTCTTTGATCCCCAAACAAAACATGACTTGTTACTTGGTGGAGAAACCCTTGTTGGCAAGCACAGAGGTAAGACGTTAGTTATAGTTGGTTACCAGGTTTGCACACATCTCAAAAGGGATTTTGGTCCACTCTACAGATCTTCTCTAAATCCTGAAGGTTTCTTGGCTGTCACTTGGCAACTCGAAGTTTCAGCTCCATCCATAAATTTTCTATAGGATTGAGGTCTGGAGACTGGCTAGGCCACTCAATGACCTTAATGCACTTCTTCTTGAGCCACTACTTTGTTGCCTTGGTGGTATGTTTTGAGTCATTGTCATGCTAGAAGACCCATCCACGACCCATCTTCAGTGTTCTGGTTGAGGGAAGAAGGTTCTCATCCAAGATTTTACAATACATGAGCCCAACCATTGGCCCCTCAATGTGGTAAAGGCGGCCTGTACCTTTAGCAAAGAAACAGCCCCAAAGCATAATGTTTCTACCTCCATGCTTGACCATAGAGGTGGTGTTCTTAGGGTCATAGTCAGCATTTTTCTTCCTCCAAACACGACGAGTCGAGTTAATGCCAAAGAGCTCAATTTTGGTCTCATCTGACCACAGCACTTTCTCTCAATCCTTCTCTGAATCATTTAGATGTTCATTGGCAAACACAGATGGGCCTGCACACACCTGCTTGAGGAGGGGGACCTTGCAGGCACTACAGAATATGAATTCATGTGGCGTATTGTGTTACCAATGGTTTGTTTGGTGCCTGGTCCCAACTGCCTTGAGATCATTCAAAAGCTCCTCCTGTGTAGTTCTGGGCTGATCCCTCACTTTTCTCATGATCATCCTTACCTCATAAGGCAAAATCTTGCATAAAGCTCCAGACCGAGGGCTATTGATGGTTATTTTGTATTTCTTCCATTTGCGAATAATGGCTCCAACAGTTGTCTCCTTCTCACCAAGCTTCTTACTGATGGTCTTGTAACCTATTCCAGGCTTGTGCAGGTCTACAATCTTGTCCCTGATATCCTTTGACAGCTGTTTGGTCTTGCCTATATTGGTGAGGTTAGAATGGAAGAAAGAGATTCTGTGGACAGGTGTCTTTTATACACATAATGGGTTGTCATTAGGAGCACCTTCTTAACTTGACAGAACTAATCTGTGTACCACATGAGCAAATAGCCAGTCTGTGGGAGCCAGAATTATTGTTGGTTGGTAGGGAATCAAATACTTATTTTACTCATTGAACTGCAACTCAATTTATAACATTGGTATAATGTGTTTTTTCTGTATTTTTGATTGATATTCTGTCTCTATCATTTAAAATATGCCTATGATAAAAATTATAGACCCTTAATTTCTTTGTAAGTGGGCAAACTTACAAAATCTGCAGGGGATCAAATAATTATTTTTGTTGCTGTGTATATGCTTTCTCCCTATACGTGCAACCCTATGAATCTCAGAGAAAGGGCTTGAATCTTTTACCAGCCAAGACTAGTCAGGTCTGTTTAGCCTTTTCCTTATATGACGTTCTTCAGAATAAGCAGACAGAAATTTAAATCATTAAATGAGGGCTAATACATTTGCCTTTCTTTTCTACCTCTTGTACAAAACACAATTGCATTTGCTTTCCTTTCTCTGCAGTTAGATGTTGTAGACCCAGAGCCAAGTGCATGAACCACTAAAATGTTTCACAGCAATACTGAGGGGAGAATATTAATAGTGTGGTCAAAAGTATGTGGACATCCTTCCAAATTATTGAGTTAGGCATTTCCAGTACAGAATACTGTTCTTTTTAGACAATTGTGCAATTCCAAACTTGTGGCAAGAGTTTGGGGATGGTCCCTTTCACTTCCAGCATGACAATGTCAGGTACATAAAGACATTGCTTAAAGCCTATTCTGTGGAGGAACACAAGTGGGCTGTGCAGACCCCTGACCTCAACCTTATGGAACACCTCTTGGATGATTTTCAATGCTGATTAGCAGTCGCAGTGTGTGTGTGTGTGTGTGTGTGTGTGTGTGTGTGTGTGTGGTCAGCTTCATACTCCATCTTAATTTGGCCTCTCCATACCCCATCTTGATCTGTTGAACAAACATTGTAAAAAAAAAAAAAAACACCTTTGGGGGAAAAAGTCATAAAACTTTATCCCTGCCTTCCATACTGCAGATCCTACGGAATGCCAAGTACACTAGATCATGCTACAGCGCAGTCTTCTCATGAGCTACTGGGCATTCTGTGAGATCCCACTGGAAAGATGTTGATGTCTCCCTTGCCTTGGGTAAGGGAAGTTTAGTAATTGGTTCTTTCCCCCTCACAGATATTTATATTTTTTTTTACCTTTCTTGTGCAGTAAATTATAGGGTAGAGGGCCCTCACAGAACAAGGAGACCTGCTGTTTAGATGCAGGGTCTGCTTTAATTTTTGAAATTGGATATCCAACAAGCTCATATTGGTGTGCTGGCTAGGTTTATTTATACACATATGACCATATAGTATATTTTTTGGCATTTGCCTTTCCTTTATGCTTTGGGTATAAATGGTATTTTGCTATTGTTATGACCAAATCTTTCTCTCACAGTCTTTTGGTGTTTCCTTGCAGGCAGTTTACCAGCTCCAATCAGTAAAATGTCACAAGTGTCAGGACCAGAATAGAGCAATGCTACAGTGCCAACATGGCGTGCTTTGTGAAGTATGTGCTGCTGAAGATGGAGACTGCCCTAACTGTCAGCTTAATATAACACCCGTTCTGCAGCCATGACCTCTGCAAGCCTGACTCCCAGGCTCCTCAAAACTCCTTTTTATATAAACTGCTATAAATCAATATATATTCATACAATGGAATCCTAGTGAAGCTGAGCACTTTTAAACAAAGAAAACAAAATGTCATTCCTTTGGAACTTGCCACAAAGCCTCAGAGTTTTTCTTCCTCTGAGAGACTCGGTATTCTATCATTTCTAGAACATCCTATTAAGGATTACTGCCCAGATGACATATCTTGGCATAATAAAATGCAAGAGATTTCTTCTATGGTGATATATTTTATTGGGACCAAATAATGTCTGTTTTCCCACCTACAAGCCGCATCTTGATAAACTCTCCAAAAATTTCAGAGGTGAGTCTGAAGCTGGCCATCATTGTGACGTGCTGATTAAGAAACACAACACTTCCATGAAATCTAACAAAGACATTTGCTGAGAGATGATTCCTTGTAAACCGAATGGTGGCAGAAGATAACACCTACCTGGGACCAGCCTTGAGTAAAGCAGTCTTGAACACAACAGGGTTCTGCTTAAGCTCCCCCCTCTTTAGAATGCCTGAAGAATTCTTTGTGTGTCATATGATATCAGGAATAGAAGCGTTCTAACATAGGGTTAGAGATCAAGTTTTCTTGTCGCACTTAGATAAAGTTATTCTATAAAACCAATTAGATTATTCACATTCATGCAAGTAATCGCTTCAGTATTGCGTGTCCGAAAAGGATTTTTCTTTCGCATTAACGGCCTAAATTCTTACAATCAATTAATAGAACAATTACGTCTCTCTTCAGTGTTGACATTTAAAAAAATAGTCATGGTTATGAGTAAGCTTTAAAACGAGGCCTAAAGTTGCAAACAATGCCCACAATTTAAGTATTTCAGCCTACATGGGTAAGTCCATCAATTAACAAAGGATACTGACAAAAGATGTGTGTCCTTAGTTCCTTATATCAAAGCTCTTTACATACTATAGAAACCAACAAGTTCTTTTAAACCTTGTCGTTCTGCAGGTGTTTGAATTGTCTGTTTCAGAAGATGTTATTTATGTTCCAATAATGTTCAGATCCATCTCAATATCATTTAAGAGCTGTTACTCTTTCAGTTGGATTTGTTAGTTAAGTACTGCACACATAGGTAATGATAGTGTGTATGCAACAGCGGTGCTAATGTGTTAAAACAGAGAAGTGTAAGTATTTTCCCTTGTGTTCAGTTTCCAGCTGTTTTTCAGATATGTGTTCAAAGACCAGCACAAGTGTTTGCATTAGGCCAAACCTTCACTTTTTCACCAATTTTATACATTAACCCAAATATGCAGACTGTGGTATTACAAAAGTGGAAGTCTATATGGCGGTACACTCATGTGTAGGTGACAAGTTAAAACCATTCTTCACTTAAATGAAGTTGGAAGGGGTTTCCATAAACAAATGACATTTCTTTCCCTATAAAATTTAACAGTATGATATTTCACTTTCGTTATCTTTACTAGTTTGGGAACACTGGCTTGGAGCATTTATGACATTAGTCTAAAATCAATTTAGAATACAAATTGGACTTAAAGTAAACTTGTGGCTGGGCTATAGACATTACACTTTATACATATTGTTAACTAGCAGTAAATAAGCTTTAAAATTAGCCCTCACTGACCTCTGTAGCTGCAGGCACTGTGTTGAAATTTATCCTCAAAGTTTACAGCAGAGACTCTGAAGTCAGGTTGTAGTGTTTACAACACCTGCTGTTTGTTTACATTAAAGGGATGGCAGGATGCAAAGAGGAAACAGGGAGAGATGAGTTGTCATGTCTGTGCCTTTGTTGTGTATTATGAGAATAAATTACTCCACAGTGCATGCAGCTATAGAATTCAATGTAAACCTGTTTTAAAGCACATTTACTGTCCAGAATGTGTAAACATTTATATGTCCATAGTCTGGCAACAGGTTTACCTCAACTACAAAATTGGCACCAATGAATTTCTGAAAGGATTTCCATATTCATTGGTTTCCTAACTCAATGTTTATAAAATGTCCCCCAGTTTGCCGACTGATGTAGCAGAACCAAAAGTAAGCTTTCAGAAGTTTAGTTCTAATTATAAATTGCCAACAGTGTTTTACAGGTGTTTGATGTTCCTGAATTCAGAAAATGACAGTTCAGTGAGTTTTTTTTTGTATGCTTTTTACTGAAGTATGTTCTCATTGTTCCTGATGTCCTTTAGCAATGTCCAGCCTCTTCTGTCTCCAAAACTAGCTCCTTTTTGTCTTTTTTTTTTTTTTTTTTTATACTGAGTTTGCCTAGTTGGGCATGGTCAGAAAAGGGTTGTATCAAAATCTTCACATGTGAAGTCTCCTTTTTTATATATTAAATAAATCTATATGTGAAACGAATTAGCCTTTTTTGGAAATGTCAAAAATAAACTGTTCTGAATCTGTTCTGAACAAGAGTAGCATTTTTTTTTTCTACTATTTATGTTAGTAATAGTCTTTTGTAGTCTTTTGTGTACAACATCAGAACTTCAAAATATAATGTTCTGCATTTAAAAAATAGGTTCTCCTGATCAGCATGCTCGCAGTCCATTGAATCTTCCTCGAGCTTTTAAACTGAAAGCTCGTAGTGGTTGTGGAACTGGGAGGAACCACAGTAGTTATTTGCAGTATTCATTGGGAAAAACCCTTCCCAATTTTTTGTTGTTGTTGAGTATAGGATAACCTAAATCATATACACATACACACCACAAAAACAAATATTTTAATCACCTATAGAATTCTTAAATATGAAAAAAGAGTTAATCAGATACACTACTAATTACCCGCTAATCCATGCAACTGGTGATCAAATTGGTTAACATAAACTAATAAATCAAAAGAAAGTGTATATATTTAGCAAGCATTTTTTTTGTTTTGCATAAAGTGGGGAAGTGTTAGAACTCCTGTCATTTTTAAATCTTTAACAGGAGTACTACATCATACACCAGTTGCTCTAGGGAAGGCTGCTGTCCATTACGAAATGGGCTTGGCTCCTGCTTGAGTTCCAGTTGGCTTCCTAGATAGGGTTTTGCTTACGTGGCATAGTGATGTGCTTCCATACATTTACATCTGAGAGTGAGGCTTGGCCTTATATGGGTTTGAAACTTACGGTAGTTGTGGAACAATCCAGATCGAGGCTTGGTTGTGGTTTCACATGAGAATGAGGCTCAACTCCGTCTTTGGTACCTATTTGAGCAATGGCGCAAAATGGCGCTTCGAGCTGCAAAAGACGTTACCTGTGACAAAATGTGTAGGGCGGAGCTACGTGCTGACGTCACCGCGCATCAGGAAGCATCAGAACTTGTTTCTATACAGAGGGGAAAATAATTTTGATCCTTTGCAGATTTTGTAAGTTTTCCCACTTACAAAGAAATTAAGGGTCTATAATTTTTATCATAGGTGTATTTTAAGTGATAGAGACAGAATATCAACCAAAAATCCAGAAAAAACATGATACCAATGTTATTGTCAGCGCAGTGCTGTGGAACGGACAGGTAGGCCTAGTGGCAGGGTAACGCACTGATTGACGACAACCACCACCAACAGACCGAAGTCCCTCAGGGCGCGGAGTCTAAGTCCCAGGCTGCTCTTCACCAGGGCCCCTGATGGTGGGGATGGACTTGACGCAGCCAAGAACCAGGTCGCGGCCCCCGAGACACCCCGGCTGCGGTAATGGCCGCCGCCAATGGCGTGTAGCTGGTAAGAATGACAATAGCGTAGTCAGGCAGGCCGGGTCGACAACGGGACAAAAACGGTACAGAACAGTAGACAGAGAATCACAGGTCACGGGCCGGGTTCAGCAACGGAAGGTCAGATCAAAGGAAAACACAGAGAATGGTCTAGTCACAAGCCGAGTCAGATACCAGAAGAGTCACGAGAGTATACACAGAGCTGTAGCAACACAAAGACACAAGTGCAAAGAGCATGTGCGGATCACAGGCTTATATGTACTCAGCCACACCCCTCTGGGGGATGGACCTCAGAGACCTGAAGGCATAAAAGACTCCCACCATGCTCTGCAGAAACCCAAGATGGATGCCAGTAGATGAAGCCGCACAGTCTCTGGGAAAAGGTAGGACCTTGACAGTTATAAATTGAGTTGCAGTTCAGTGAGTAAAGTAAGTATATGATCCCATGTAAAACACGACTTAGTACTTTTTGGAGTACCCTTGTTGGCAAGCAGAGAGGTAAGATGTTTCTTAATGTTGGTTACCAGGTTTGCACATATCTTGGGAGGGATTTTGGTCTACTTTTCTTCACAGACATCTCTAAATCCTTAAGGTTTCTTGGCAGTCGCTTGGCATCTCGAAGTTTCAGCTCCCTCCATAACTTTTCTATAGGATTAAGGTCTGGAGACTGGCTAGGCTTCTTCTCGAGCCACTCCTTTGTTGTCTTGGCGGTATGTTTTGGGTCATTGCCATGCTGGAAGACCCATTCACGACCCATCTTCAGTGTTCTGGCTGATTGAAGAAGGTTCTCATCCAAGATTTTACAATACATGGCCCTGTCCATTGGCCCCTCAATGCGGCAAAGTCGGCCTGTACCTTTAACAGAGAAATAGCCTCAAAGCATAATGTTTCCACCTCTGTGCTTGACTGTTGAGATGGTGTTCTTAGGGTCATAGTCAACATTTTTCTTCCTCCAAACACGGCGAGTCGAGTTAATGCCATAGAGCTTGATTTTAGTCTCAGCTGACCACAGCGCTTTCTCCCAATCCTTCTCTAAATCATTTAGATGTTCATTGGCAAACTTCAGACAGGCCAGTACTTGTGCCTTCATGAGAAGGGAGACCTTGCAGGTTCTGCAGAATTTCAATCCATGGCGGTGTATTGTGTTACCAATGGTTTGTTTGGTCCCAACTGTCTGCCTGAGAGCATTCACAGGCTTCTGTGTAGTTCTGGGCTGATCCCTCACTTTTCTCATGATCATGCTTACCCCATGAAGCAAAATCCTGCATGGAGCTGCAGACCGAGGGCGATTGATGG